AAACAAACAGGCAGATCTGAAAAATAATCAGACAGAAACTTTAGAAGAAAAATATAATTATTGAAACAAAAAACTCATTGGATTGGTTAGGCAGATTAGGCACAGCTGAAGAGAGAATTAGTGAAGTGAAATATTGTTTCTCAAATTTTAACATGCACAGGAACTACCTGGGAAGATTACTAATATACAAAATGTGATTTGGTAGGTCTTGGGTAGGACCCAGATTCTGCTTTTCTGATAGATCTCAGGGTGATGTTGATGCTGCTAGCCCATGGACTTTGAGTAGCAAAAGGACACTAGAATATAGATATGAAGAAATTACCCAGGATGCATCATAGAAAGACATAAAGATGGAAAATGCAAGAGGTTAAGAAATGAGAAGGATGGAATAAAAAAGTCAACTAAAGTCCCCAAAACAGAAAATGCTGAAAGAGAGAATCCCCCCCCACCCCCACATTTGCAGGGCCTGGAGCAAGAACACAAGTGGAGGCCCACATATTATGTGCCTTAACATTTAAAAGTTCCATACCCTGCTTACACCAATGCTTTGGCAAACCCCTGGGACATGAGGTACACATATCAGTATATGATCTGCACTCTAAGGGAAATGTCCAGGGAAGCTATCCAGGTAGAATCTGGAAGTGGGCTATTTTGTTCATAAGACACACTAAAACCTAAGGGCATAGAAAGGTTGAAAGTAAAAAGGTGAAAAAAATCCCTCTCAGAGGTGACTATTAACCGAAAGAAAGCTGGGACAATTACATTAACATCTAACAAAGTAGACTTTTAAAGAAAAAACGCATTAGTAGGGCTAGAGATGGTTGTCACTTAATGATAAACAGCACAACCCACCAAAAATAGATAACAATTCTAAACTTACATACATTTAATAAAGCAACCCAGAAGTATAAATGAGAAAAATCAACAGAATTACAGGGAGAAATAATGAAATCCATGATCAGAGTACATTCAACACTGTCTCAACTATTGATAGCCAATGTATGCCAGT